AGGGAATTAAAATTTCAATTTAAATGCAGAGGTTTGAAACACGCTTCAGTGGCAAAATTACTTCAATTAATGTGAGTGGAATACAAAGAGCAGGCTGCAGGGATGGGATGCAGCAGGCTGGAATGATGCCTTTGGAGGGGCTGCAGAGGGCTGGTTGTGGCTGCATGGATCACAGGGCTACAGGAACAGCATCAGTCAGGGCTGCAAGTGCAGGGTGAGGGCTACAAACCCCTTGTCAGAGCACTCTGGGCTTGTCCTGAGCCACCAGCAGCTGTTTACCTTGAGGAATGAAACCAAAGGACAGGCAGATCTATGGCCACTGGGCCTCCCTGACAGATCAGTAATGATTTTACATAATGTTCCTATCATATCAAAGGAGAAGGGAATTATCCCCAGCCTGTGAGTGATTACAACATCACGGCCTCGCAGAGCTGTGTTAACACAAGGTGGCAAAAGCCAATGAGCCTGCAGTGATTTTTGGCCAGGGAAAAGCTCCAAATGCAGGTGAATTACTGTTTCTTTATACAGGCACATTTGTCTTCAAATGAGAATTGCAAGTGTCAATGAGTGGCTGAAATTGAGTGTTCAATTTCCACTTGAGGTTTCTCTGCATTCCTTGATATATATTCAAAAAAGCCCATGAACTAACAGCTGCTTTTTATATCATTACTGTTTGATTTATTAGAAAATATTTGCTGTGTGAAAACAAAAAACAACCAAACAGAGCAGCAGCAGAAATGCTGCAGAAGTCTATAAATCAGAGAGATCTAATGCTGTCTCTCCCTCATAGCCACAGGCACCTTTACACATATTTATATACACATAAGTGTTTATATTTAAAATAACCATACACAAAATATTGCAAAAGCAGTAAATATCAAACACACAGGTTGAAAACCATTTCTAAAGCATAATGTATGAGAAATCTTAAGCAAGGTTATTTTTCTTCCTTACACTTCCTTACGTGGATTTCAAATGGGAAATAGATTACTTGTCTGGCATTTTGAAAATAATTTTTTTTTTAATTGAAAAGGAACCCACAAAAAACAAAACAAAAAAAAAATCAAAATGAAAAATAAAAAACAACCAAACCAAGCAATCTCGTGGAAAAAGCACCAACATTTCAACTCATACTGATGGCAACTATATCATATTTTGGTACCTACACTGGACACCCTTAATTTCCACCTCCTTTTTCACATCTGACAATTGAAAATATCAGGCAAACACCACACTTGGATTCTCCCATTTCTGGAGCTGTCCAAGGCCAGGCTGGACAGGGCTTGGAGCAGCCTGGGACAGTGGCAGGTGTCCCTGCCACGGCAGGGGTGGCACTGGATGGGATTTCAGCTCCCTTCCAACCCAAACCTTTCCATGATCCTGTGAGTGCAGCAGGGCTGGCACAGGAGAGGAGGAGGAACAGAAAAACAAGAGGAAGGTGATGGCAGAGTGAAACCAGACACGAAGATGTGACAGCAACAACAAAAACCAGGTGGGTTCCACAGGCCATGGGAGGGTGGGATGGGAGTGGCATCCAGCTGTGGGAAATCCAGCACAGAGAACGAGGTAAGTTTTACAAAGTCATGTTTGAGGTGAAATAAGATAAAGCAAAAAGGAGGAAATTAAAGCTCAGGGTGACAATTTCCAGCTCTTTGTCCTGTTGGGTAATGACTTATTAAAAAGAAGTGAAGAAGCACAGCTAAAAGAGACAACAAAGGGCAGTGAAAGGGAAAAAACCAACAAAATAAGGCAATGAAAAGATGACCTTAAAGGCACTGTGTGGCAAAGAGGAGTAAGAAACAGAGGCAGCACTTTTGCCTCTACTTTTTGTGGTCCAGGATGGAAAGGACCTGTGCAGAATATCAAATTTACTTCCCTGTCCAAGTACAGGCACCTAGAGCCATGTCCAGGCTGGATCTGGAAATTTTCCTCAGAGGGAGACTCCAAGGCACAGCTAAGAGAGACAACAAAGGGCAGTGAAGTGGGAAAAAAACAAAACAAAACAAAATAAGGCAATGAAAAGATGACCTTAAAGGCACTGTGTGGCAAAGAGGAGTAAGAAACAGAGGCAGCACTTTTGCCTCTACTTTTTGTGGTCCAGGATGGAAAGGACCTGTGCAGAATATCAAATTTACTTCCCTGTCCAAGTACAGGCACCTAGAGCCATGTCCAGTCTGGATCTGGAAATTTTCCTCAGAGGGAGACTCCAAAACCTCTCTGTGTCTAAGAGCTTGAACTTCTTCCAGTATTCAACCATCCCTGCAGTAAAGAAGGGCTGGTTTAGGATCAAACTATTCCCTGTGTTTCAGACTGTGCCCATCCCTCTTCTCCCATCCCTGGGCACCACAAAGGAGAGTCTGGCTCTGTTTCCTTTGCACCCTGCCATGAAACAATAACAACCATCAAGAACATCTCCCTGGGGATTCTCTCAGCCTCTCTCCACGTGTGAGATGCTCCTTAACCATCCCTGTAATCCCCACTGGCCTGGACCCAGTAACTCCATCTGTCTTTACTGGAGGGCCCAGGACTGGACTGAGCACTCCACATGTCAGGACTGAGAAGGGAAAAATCACCTCTCTTGTTTTTAATTCCTAAAGACAATTCCAGCAAAGGAAGGACTGGTGCCTGGTTAGGAAATGTGCTTGTTAAGTTTAGAAAGATTGTTGTTAGAGAAGTCCAGGAAACTCCTGGACTGTGGCATTCACATTCTCTGAACAGAGACAATTCTCTCTCTCAAAGTTTTTTCCTGGAGAAGCACAGAGAGAAGAAGAGAAAAACAATTCTTGTCTCTATTCTCTGCTCCTGTTGTTTTACACATGTGGAATGAGTTAGGGAGATTGTTTACCTGAAGTGATTTGTCAATTAGATTCTGCTGAGAATTGTTTTGTTTCCTTGGCCAATTGAAAAAAGCTGTATCCTGAATGTTGGAAGACAGCATTCTTTAGCATTCTTTGTATATATATTTCTTTAGTATTCTTTGTATACAGCATCTCTTTAATATAGTGTAGTATAATGTAATATAAATACAGTTTAATAAAGCAATTGTTTAATACATCAGTGGAGTCAGATGCCATCATTCCTTCGTCAGGGGCACCCTGATTTTACCGTGCTGGACAAGACTGAACTGTAAGGCAAGCTAACAAAAGAGATGGAACTGAAGAGAAAAAACACTTGAAGGAAGGGAGAAAGAGACATTAACCAGGAGGTGGAAGTAAGAAGAAATAATCAAGAGCCCTGGGAAAAGAATCACAGAGTCACAAAACCAATTAAGTTGGAAAAGATGTCTGAGATTATCAAGTCCAACCTACCACACCCAGGAATTCCACGGACACCTCCAGGAGTAGGGACTCCAAACCCTCATGACAGCTCATTCCCACCTCTGATCACCCTTTCTGTGAAGACATTCCTCCTAATGTCCAACCTAAACCTTAAGCCTTTGTCCTCTCATGGAGACAATGAGGCAAACCCATCTAAACTGTGCAAGAACCTCCCCTGTGAATAATGGCCAAAGTTGTGAGTGCATTCTGGGGATGAAAGAGGAGGGACACAGGACAGCTCCTTCTAGTATAAAAAAGGGTTTGAAATAATTGGTAAGATTTTAAGAAATTATGACCCAGGCAGGAGTCTGGAAAATTAATTTTGAAATAAAGCATGACACTGCAAAAGGAGGAGATGGGAGGGAAAAGGGGACGGAAAAGGGGCAAAAGAGGGGGAACAAAAAAAGGGGGCACAAAAAAGGGGTGTGGTTGTGTTCAAGGATCCCTGGACGAGGGAAGAGATGAGAATCTTGACTCCATGTTTCAGAAGGCTGATTTATTATATTATGACATTATACTATATTAAAATGCTAAAATAAAACTACACTAAAAAGAATAGAGAGAAAGGATCTATCAGAAAGCTAGAAAGGAATGAATAACAAGAGCTCCTGACTCTCAGAGTCCAACACAGCTGGATCTTTGATTGGTTATTAAGCAGAAACAACTCACATGGACCAATCAAAGATGCATCTGCTGGTAAAAAAAGTCCAGTCAGATAGTTAATTGTTTACATTTCTTTTCTGAGACTTCTCAGCTCCTCAAGAGAAAATCCTAACAAAGGGATTTTCATAAAATACCATGGTGACATAGAGGGGCCAAAAAAAGGGGTGTGGTTGTGTTCGAGGGCCCCAGGACGAGATGAGAATCTTGACTCCATGTTTCAAAAGGCTCATTTATTATGTTATGAAATTATACTATATTAAAATGCTATACTAAAACTATACTAAAAAGAATAGAAAGGATCTATCAGAAAGCTAGAAAGGATGAATAACAAAAGCTCCTGACTCTCAGAGTCCAATACAGCTGGATCTTTGGTTATTAAGCAGAAACAACTCACATGGACCAATCAAAGATGCATCTGCTGATAAAAAAGTCCAGTCAGGTAATTAATTGTTTACATTTCTTTTCTGAGACTTCTCAGCTCCTCAGGAGAAAATCCTAACAAAGGGATTTTCATAAAGTATCATGGTGACACAGGGGGGCCAGAAAAAGGGGGCCAGAAAAAGAGGCGTGGTTGTGTTTGAGGGTCCCTGGATGAGGGACGAGATGAGAATCTTGACTCCATGTTTCAGAAGACTGATTTGTTATTATACTATAATAGATGCTATACTAAAAGTATACAAAAAAGAATAGAAAGGATCTATCAGAAAGCTAGAAAGGAATAGAAAGGAATGAATAAGAGAAGCTCGTGACACTCAGAGTCTGACACAGCTGCATCTTTGATTGGTTATTAAGTAGAAACAACTCACATGGATCAATCAAAGATGCATCTGCTGATAAAAAAGTCCAGTCAGGTAATTAATTGTTTACATTTCTTTTCTGAGACTTCTCAGCTCCTCAGGAGAAAATCCTAACAAAGGGATTTTCATAAAATATCAGGGTGACATAGCGGGGCCCGAAAAAGGGGGACAGAAAAAGGGGACACAAAAAGGGACACAAAGAGGGGACACAAAGAGGGGGTACCAGCATGTCGGTGGCGTTGAGGTAGCGCTTGCTGGCCATGCACTGCTCCAGCTTCTGAGGGACCTGCTTGATGTTCTCAATCTCATCCAGCAGGTTCAGGACGTGCTTGTGCTCGATGCCCTCGATCCACAGCTTGCGCAGCTCGTCCCGTTTGCAGTGCAGCAGCATCTTGCAGGACAGCAGGTTCTCCTTCACCTGCAGCAGCACAGCAAGGGTTAATGACATCAGTCCCTGCAACTGAGAGCAGCCCTTCCCCGCTTTTGCTTTATTAAGGATTCCCAAAATATCACCAAGGTAAAAGCAAATTTGATTTCCTTCGTGCTGCCTTGGCTGAGGAGAACTTTACAGACCCTAAAAATGGAACTTTTCTCATAGTGAAATGTTCTTTAATGCAAGTTTTATACCACTAGTGAAAATTTAACTGAAGTACCACAATGCAATGAAACCCAGATCCTGTTAACCACAACCAAAGCCGTTTCCCAAGAACCAATTCAGTATTTTGGCAAACAGCAAGAATCTAATTTTCTGTGGAAGCAAATAAGCCACCACTAATTTTCCTGCTGCAAACATTTTCCATCTGCCTATTAAATCTTTTGGCAGTCTCCTCCTTTCTTCAAGTTTGGTGTTTTTTTCTCTGAAACAAGACCAGCTAAGAGTAAAACTATTTTCCCAATAACTTGAGCAATACCAGTTTTTTTTTTGGAAGAGAAGATTTAATCAGAACATTTATGAGTTCAAATCAGCATTTCCATGATTTATCAAGCCATTACAAACCCTTTAGTGGCACCATGCAGTTTGGTTCTGAGCCTGATGCCATCATCCAAGTGGCAAAATCTCTAATTTTTCTCCATTTAGGCAACACCAAGAGTTCTCCTTCTCCATTCTCTCCACTCACAGCATTCCCTGCTTTCAGACTCTCCCTGGTAAGGTCAGTGTAACCTAGCTTTTCCTGCTTAATGCAAATCAACAATCCATACTAAAATGTGGAAGCAATTAGCAGCACAGCTTCACACATTGCCTTCACACCACTCTTGTTTTGTGATAAGTTATGAATACTTGGGGTCCAACCTTTTCTCAGGCTGAACTCTCACTGAATTACACATGAAGAGAGACACTCAGAAGGAGCCCTTCAATTTATTTTTAAATAATGAGCCTTCAAAGCACTCCACAAACCCCACTTCAGCTGCACTTTCTCCTACCTTGTTCACCTGTAGGCAGTTAAAAAAAAATATGTGAAAAACACATAATTGGACCAATAGTGGACACTGGTAAATAAAACCAGCTCCATAAGACAGCCTCTGTCCAGAGGCAGGAGAGTTTGAGATTTCAAACTGCACTCCAAAATGTCCTTCTGAAAAGAGAAGCATGGAAAAATCCTCTGCCAGCAAAAAAAAACCTCATCTGAGGGTGTCTTAAAAAGCAGAGGCAAACTAAAGCACACACAGAGATCATTTCACATCTGATCCCTGTTCAATACATTAATTGGAAATGTTTCACTGGCCTGGCACGGCTTCATCAGTGGACTGCAGATACAGAGAGCCAAATTAGGTCAGCAAAACAATCACGGGGCCAGGAGGAATCTCACCAGACATTGCTGCTCCTGTCCTTGCAAGAAAGATCAACTCCCTCCACATCTGGGAGCAGGGCAAGGAATGAACAGCAGATCTTTAAAAAAAACCTCCCCTTGGGAGCCCAAATTGATTCTGCTTCGTAACTCAGTTTTACAGAGGCAACACCTCTGTAGCTAAACCCAAAACTAAACCATTCCCACCAGGAATTCACACAAGAATTGACTGCAGATCCCTAGAAGGCTCTGGAATATCTGTCACTTGTACAACTCCCACCTTGCCCAGAGGGGAACACGAAGAGCAAGCCTGGGAGTGTAACACAGATTGATGACAAAGCAGAGCTGGGGCCTCCTGTGAGATTAGGTCAAAACCACTTCAATACATATTGACCAAAACCAATAAGCAAACTTAAATACCAAAAGGTCCCTCACCCTCACAGTCATTGTTCTAGGTGGGACCCAAAGGTCACACCACTCTCTGCTTGTGCTGACCTCTGCAAAGCTTTGCACACTGTGTGAAACCAGGCCACTGCCTACAGTTGATTTCAAATTTAGTGGAATTGATCTCTGCTTTCAGAGTGCTGAGCTTTGTCCATAAATCCTGCAATGAACTCTTACCCTTGGAAAGCAGCAGAATGCTCTCATTTTCTTTGAAAATGTTAAATGAATTTTCAAAGCCAGAAGGGTCAGTATGTAACCCACCAAGGGTAAAAATTTGCTGCTCCTAAAGCACTCCTGGGAAAGGTTTTAAGCTGAGAGTTCCACAGAGCCAGGAAACAAACTAAAGTAAGAAAAATTTGGTGCCTGTTTTGCAAAGTTTAGGTACAGCAAGCTGCAGAGGAAATGCAAGATAAGAGCCCAAAAAACGCATCTGCTGCTGCAGGGACAGAGCAGCTCAAACAAGTCCCCTGCCACAAGTGCCAGAGTTATTTACTGGCACTACACCCTAAAGTGTGAGCACTCAAAATGCAGAAAGATTTGGGGGCACAGAGTTCATGGGTGTTCACACGACACAGCTGAGCTTGGAAATAGCATCAAAATTCATATTCTGTGAGCAAAAAAGCGAGATGATGAATCACCCAGACTGTTCAGGAGTTGAAGGCCAAGACAGCAAAACATGAAAAGATGAGATGGAAAGGTGTGAGCTCAGCAGCCCTGGAGACTTCAAAAACCTGAGAGCAACATGCCCAGACAATAAATGAACAGGGGCACTGCAGAGCTTTCTGCTTCACATCCACCTCTCAGTTTGACTTGTAACAACTTCTGATCTCAGGGAGATCCTACAGAAAATGCTGCCAGTAAGACACAGCTTGGGACAATGGCAGGACTGGAGTGTCCTGTAGGGACAGAGTCACTGGTATTCAGACCTAGCTTAGAATAGTCATGCCAAGATGGGGGGTTGAAGGGAATTAAAATCATCTTTAAATCCCCTGCCATGGCAGGGACACCTCCCACTGTCCCTGCTCCAGCCCCAGTGTCCAGCCTGGCCTTGGGCACTGCAGGGATCAGGGGCAGCCCCAGCTGCTCTGGCAATTCCAGCCCAGCCAGCAATTCCTCATGGCCAACATCCCATCCATGGCTGCCCTCTGGCACTGGCAGCCATTCCCTGGCTCCTGTCCCTTGTCCCCAGTCCCTCTGCAGCTCTCCTGGAGCCCCTGCAGGCCTGGAATGTGCTGGAAGCTCTCCCTGGAGCCTTCTCCTCTCCAGGTGAGCACCCCCAGCTCTCCCAGCCTGGCTCCAGCCCTGGGGATTCCTCTGGACCCGTTCCAACAGTGTTGGACACAGAACTGGAGGTGGGAATTTAGTGGTAACAGCACTTTCTCCACTCAATTTGCATTCAATTCAAAATGAAGATGAGAAGCTGGAAAAACAGAGAGAGAAACAAAAGCTTAAAACAGGACCTTGGAGCTTCCATCACTGGTGGGTACTGGTAGCAAAACCACTAATAAAACAACAGCAGCCAGGAAAAAGAGGAGATTGGCAGCAGGAGCACAGCCTGTGGAGCTGACACATGTTGGATTATGCTCTTTTGTGACCCAGAGATGGGGCAGCTGAGAGGTGTTTTACCCAACTTTTATTCCATTTTCAGTCTCATGTGAAGGGTGAGACCATGCAGATGTTAGAATTCACCCCATCACAATCAGAAGCCAGCTATTTCCTAATTACAAGACATTAAAATGTGTTTATTGGCAGGGAAAGGATTTCCATTTTCCATTTCTGTGGAGGCTCCTGCCTTCCCTATCAAACACCTGCCTTTCCAACCCAAGAAACAACGTCTACAAACTGCACAAATCCCCGTCCCCAAGGCAGAACCTGCTTGATCTTGTTGCGGGAGTTGGTGATGCGCTCGGTGATGCTCTGGTAGGTGCGGATGGCCGTGGTCAGCTCCGTGTAGTGCTGCACGATCAGCTCGTCCAGGTCGCGGTCGCACTTCTCGTACGCCTCCTCCAGCCGCCCCTTCTCGTTCTCCCGGTCCTCCACGTCATCGCTGGTGGATAAAGTCCTGAGGACACCAAGATGGCAAGAGTTACTTGGAGGTTTTTTTTGGTAGAGATCAATGCACTGTGAGAAAATAAAAGCCATCAATACTGTGGTTTATTATGCGGCCAGTTTTTAAACCCTTCGTATTATTATCACTGCCACTTGTAATGAAAGGATGGTATGACTGCACAGGCAACCCCCGACGAAGGGGAGAGAATGATGCATCTGACTCCATCATCAGAAGGCTAAATAATTACTTTATTATTCTGTATTATATACATTCTATCTAAACTGAATCTGCCTTGCACTCACTCTTGCTCACAACTGCACTCATCTCGATTCTCTCTCGTGACTCTCCTGTGACAGTCCGACACACACACAACTCTTGGCCCTGATACGCCAAGAGAACAAAACATCCTCACTTTTGGGTAAACAATCCCCATTTTGCATTCCACCTTAGCACAGCAAGCGAGATAAGGATTATGTTTTCCTTCTTCTCTGCTTGTCTCACAGCTTCTCTCTGTTCAGAGGGCAGGTGAACACCACAGGATGGGACTATTTTTGGGCTGAGAACGATTTATTGCTCAAATAAATACCTGTCTCAGAGGCTGTGAGATTTTAAAGGAGCAAGCAGTCGGCCATAGCTTAAGCGTAGTCACAAGTTTCTTTGTCACAAGGCAATATAAACTTTCTAAACCAATGAACAGTTGCTACAGGGTTTATTTTGCTTTTCTAACCTACCACCTATACTTCTGCTGTACTGCAGATACTTTTGTCCAATAGGCTTCTGTCTCACATGCACATATATAATTCTATTACAACTTCTAAACTCTTAGCTTATTCTACACAACCACACCCCTACATTATAAACCCTTCACTGCCTTGTCAATAGAGTTTCTCACTTATTTAAGGCATATTCTTACTTGCAACAACAGAAACATAAGTTTATGTTTTTTCTGCTTAATGTCTGTGTATTGTATTTTTATATCAATCCAAAATTCTCCCAAGGCTGCAAATCAAACCCTTCCGTCTCTATGGAAGTTTCTATTTTTCTGATTCCCACGCCTTCAGAACTTTTCCCTTTTCAGGGAAAGTTCTCTGTTGGTTATCACATTGCCAGACAGTCATTAATACAGGCACAATGTAATATCTGAAATATTTCTTGATTTATTATTTATGAAGAGCTATAAGGAAAAAAAATCCTAACTTTAGTCTTGGGAGTCAGTGCAACTTGTGCAGTGTTGTAGTTGCTGTAACTTACCTGCCAAAGGTAAGGGATGTCACAGGGACACAGAGAAACCCATCACAAATCTATCCAGGTCTTCCACAGTCAGTGTTCAAACATATCCCAATAAAACAAGAAAAGGCCCCATGACCCTATTTCCTCCCTCAATTATTTTAACCTTTAACATCATGTAGTAAGATTTGTTTTATTGCAATCGATTAAGTTTGAGATTGCAACAAAACTGCTGAAACCTCTGTGAAACTGAACATAGCTCAACGCTTCTCGACGTCACTCCAGATTTCTATTCCAGAATCAATGCAATCTTCTCCCTTTGAGAGGATAAAAATCCCAGAAAGAGCAGCAAGAACCTTTTCCTGATATCCAACCTCAACCTCCCGTGACACAGCCCCAGGTACCTCTGAAGTACCTGCACATAACTGAAATAAAGTCCCTCAGGACCCATCCCTGTCACAGAGAGCAGAGATCAGAGCTGCCCCTCCTGAAGAAGCTGCAGCCCCCCACAAGTTCCCCCTCAAAGCAGCTTCATGCAAAGCATAAAACTCATTGCATTTCTTGTTCCATGCTGCATGGTAGCTACAGAAAGGGGAATCCTTTCTCATGCCATTACATTAATATTCTACTCCCAAAACTTTTAATTGTGTCTTATATCAGCTTTTCAAAAAAAAATTAAATTATATTTTAGCCAAAGCTCTTTAAAAAGGCTCTGAGAAGTAGGAACACTGGACAAGGTTGCTCAGGGTCCAGAAAATATAAATTTTAGTGAAAGGCTCCCTGCCCATGACCATCTTCCAATCCTAACCATTCCACGACTAAAATGAAAATCACATGTAAGGCTGGCAGAAAGTCATCCTCTGTTAAGAGCCCTTGCAGATAAATCCATTTTCTTTGTGAAGAACTGCTTCTTTCTGCTGGAAGGATGTTCTTCAGCACGGCTACACAGGACACAAGGAATACCCAACTCAGGAACTGACATTTTGTTTGGGTTTGGAGCTGCCTGTCCCAGCAGTTAATGGAAACATCCATCCTCTGTGACCTGCGGCACAGATCGCAGGAGAATCCTCCATGGAGACAGACAAAGGAGCAGCAGAACCAAATTAGCACAGACTAGGAAAGTTGGTAGTTTGAATCAAACCAAATTCGATTTCACAACTCTGGATTTGCCACAGAATCCGTCAGCAGTTGGTTACAAAGGCTGAAGATCTCTCTCCAGAGGTAAGACTACATTGCTCATGTCAGAGGATGCCACGAGGATTCCACTGCTCCAGCAAATTCCCATCCAACCCAGGCTTCCTAACAAATCCCAGCCTTAGTTTTGAAGCAGATTTATATTGTGTTGCCCAGGCTTTTTGTCCTTGCATTTGAATTTAGCTTGTCCTGTCTATAGGAAAAATAGATTTTGCTAAAAACATCTGCCCAGCAAAGCAGAGCTTTGTGAAGCCTGAGAGGTCCCAGCAGTGCCTATCTCAGAAACCCCAAAAGTTTTTGTACTATTGCATCTGTATTTTTAATTTTCCTAGTAAAGAACTGTTACTCTTATTCCCACATCTTTGCCTGAGAGCCCCTTAATTTCAGCAAGACAAAGCCAGGACAGCTGGAAAGCAGAAACCTTGGAGATCCCACCAGATTATTCCCAGTGAGATCATAATGAGCATGCACAGTTCTGGTCTCCTCTCACCCTCAAAAGGGCAGATGAACCAAGATGAAAACCAAGATGGACCAAAGTTTCAGGTTCCAGGATTTCCAGCTGCCCCTGTTGGATGCAGAATAAGCACCTGTATTGGGAACATCCTGCTTTTGCTTTAATTCTTATTACTCTTTTAGTTATTATCAATAAATTTTTCTTCATACCCTTTTAAAATTTTAAACCTATTTTACCTTTCTCCTAATCCTACCTCACAAATATTAAGCACATTAGTAATTAACCAGCACCAAACCTAGCACACTAATTATTAGCACATTAACTAAGAAATCTAAAAAGTAATGAAATCTCAAATTAACAAACCAAAACCACTACACCTAATTACCTGGTTTGGGAATATACTGTGGGAACAACCACCACTAAAAATACCACATTCATATTTTGACCAAAAGTTTGTATTTATTTACAGTCCTTTAATCTGTTCTGGTTCAAACCATCACAGAATTATTAAAATTGAAAAGACTTCTAAGATCACGGAGTCCAACCATTAACCCAGCACTGCCAAGGCCACCACTAAATAATGTTCCCAGGCATCACATTCTACACCAAAAAGGATAAAAAATTCCACACAACAACAAAATTTCCTCAACAGGTTTTTTCTTAGCCCTCCACTTACTTGAATTTCCCTTAAACACCTGTAGATTATTTCCTATATGGGTAAGAATTTAAACCAAAACCCAAGGCCCAAATAGAAAAAAGTAACAGAGTTTGGTTTTTTTTCCCTTCATTTTACTGAAAAACACAGCAAGTTCTAGAAATGTAAAGTTTTGGGTTCAGAATCTGGCCTGGATTAATCACTTGGAATTTGAAACTTTGTACACTTGAATTTCCCATCTAAGTCTCGTGGTACAAGAGCCATTTTTTTCTTGCTCTGCCCAAAAAAAGAAGAGAACAGCAAGGAATAGTTAATATTCTTGAGATTATTCATGCTCCTGCTAACACTGCAGAAAAGTAAGCCAAGGGCATCTCTGCTTATTTTAGTCCTATTAAAATGTGTTGCAAGGAAGAAGAAAAGTCAACACAGTGTTTGTCAAACAGAAGGGATCCAAATTGTTTGGGAAAGGAACTTTGCAGGAAGAACTTTGAAGGGGGAATCACAAAACAGGACAGGATTATGAAACAATGATAAATATACATCAGCATTTCAGAACTCCCTGAAAAATATCCCCAACAGAGGACAAACAGAAGGAAAATCAGTTTAGATCCCAAGCAGCAGATGATGAACTCGGTGGGGGTTTCCAGGAGGAATTGCTGAGCAGTTAACTCCTTTTTTTTTTATTTTGATTTTTTCCAAATGAGAGCTCTCCTCCTCCTCTGTAAGATACCTGGAATTTGTACTTGGCAGCTGGATGGCTGCAGATGCCTGTCTCATTAGCAAGAGCTCACCAGGATTACAATAATTCCAACTGGCTGTGAGTCTGCTGAGAGACATTTTTATGCTAGGGTGAAACAGAAATTCATTGAGCCAAATCTCACGGACTTCTGATTTTACATAGTTAAAAATACAGATTACACAAAAGCAAAACGCTTCATTCACTGGAGTCACTCCCACAGATGGAAGACAGGATAGAGGAGAAGATGATCAGACACAATCCTGGAATGTTTTTATCATGGGATGTACAGCACTTTCCTCAGGAGAAAATAAATGAACCTTGTTATTTCCCTGAGGTCACTGAATTTACACTGGAATTAGATTAATAAAAAAAGTCCTTTGGGACTATTCATTTTAGTAGAAGTTGATCTGTAGGTCACAAGCATTTTTCATCTCCTATTTCTCCTGCATCCAACCCAATGAGCAGAGAGAAGAGATGGAGAGATTTTTTCAGGAGTCCTGAAGCCCTGTCATTGTGCAAACACCCAAAACCTTCAACTGCTTCCTCCAACAGCTCACGTGAAAGCCAGGAATAGCTCATTTCCAAATGAAAATACACAGGAAAAAGTGCTCACATTTATATATATATAACTCCCAGCCATACCACTTCTGCACAAGACTGCACCTCTCTAAAAACCTGAATCAACTCCAAGCTCTCCAAGAATCTTCCTCTCTCAGCAGCTCAGGTGAAGGGACAGAGTGCCA